GTTAAAGGCCCTTGCAATAATACGGTAAATGAAGCATGTTGCGGGACGGTGAGCGAAAAGCCAGTACCTGTGGTTTGGTAATGCTTCTATAGGATGAATTTTCTAATCAGTAGAAGTACACCGGATGCTGATTAGGTTGGAGAGAGTATTCTCCCTTAGGTACACCTTTAATCTGTAGTACTGCAGAGTTTGTTTATTTATTTAATTAACGTGTTATATGCATCACATAATATGTTATATGTCGTTTGATGTTAAAGAGTACATGCGCAAATGAGAGATTACAGCATATTAAGTTATCTAATGTCAATTTCGCAATATTACAGATAGCAATTAGTCTCAGCATTATATACAAAATAAACAATAATGATTAATTTTAAGTTTATTATTTAGCGAATTCACTAGGAAACAATTTTACAGATAAAAGTTTTTAGAGATGTTTAGAAACATCAAGTACATGTTTAAAGAAACAATTCTTCTGACGATTTTAGCATCCATACCATAAATTGTATTGTTTGTTGCCCGAGGAAGTAGCGCAGTTAAGTTTCGCGTACATTTCTTTACATACAGCGATCTCTAGTTGAAAGAAAGGAAATTATGGTGACATAACACTCCTTGAGCGTCACAAGATGTCTGACGGACCATTAATACGTTTTGTAACTTTGCTTTTTTGATATCTACATGTTTATCTCCTGTTGTTTACGACATTGTTATGTTTACGGTAATGAGATTCGTAATCGCAGTAAGCTATTATCTCTTCAAGTCATATCTGTCTGATTTTGTGATTATCATGATTACAATGTACTTCATGTGCTATGATAAAGAAAATTAAACATTTGCCACTTGTGCAGAATTTCAAATTTAATGCTGCAGTGCGGCGAAATAATAAGATATGATTTGCTTTTTCAGATTTGGATGACGACACCATAGACGCGCAATCATTCCTCTTCTTAATAGCTGGGTATGAAACATCGAGCACTTTGTTGTCTTTCGCCATTCACACGCTGGCCATCAAACCGGACATCCAAGAAAAATTGCGTGCGCATATCCAAGAAGTTTCAGAGGGAAAAGAAATCACATATGAATTATTGTCAGAGCTGACCTATCTTGAAGGATTCTTGCTAGGTAGGTCAGAATTGACATGTTTTCAAATTTGTCCACTGTTTTCCTTCACCTTCATTTACGAGCACGTCGTTAATCAGCACTTATAGTTATAATTAACAAGTTATATATTCGTGCCGGTATATCGGACTCTGGTTACTGTAATATGTATTAACATAGCGGGCTTAGCCCGTGAGTGAACACATTTTTATATAATAAACTAGCTGTGCCCCGCGGTTTCACCCGCGTCATCACGTGTCCGAGGTACGCGACATGACCAAGTGCAAGCATTTTATAACCACTAGGGTTTAAGCGTCGTTCGCGCGCCCAGGCAAGTATTGAATTATTTTAATTTTACATTATCTCTTAAACTATGCGTCCAAATAACATGGTATAAAGAACAAAGTTTATCTTCATAAAAATTGTCTTGATGATGAAGTAACTTACGTTCGTAAGGATAAATAGGCCATGCCTAATAATAACGCTAATAAATCACTTTTAAATTTTCAATATTTTTTTGTCACAAAATACCAAATTATGGCTTATGTATAAGAAATAGACATATGGTATCGCGGACTTTTTTTTAGACGGAGTAAAGGTCTATATTTTTCTAGAACATTGTATTTACGTATCCCTAACGATAACACCAGCGTACGCTGATAAATCATTTCGGGAGTGCTTTTTCTTCTGACTTGCTTAACAAATATCCATATTTAAGGCTAGCTGAGTAATATAGCTTAATGCTAGATAGCCTATACTATTCCACATGAATCTGACTATAATATACAAAAAGAGTTTTTCAAATCGGACTGGTAGTTCCAGAGATTAGCGCGTTTAAACAAACAAAAAAACAAAAAAAATCTCTTCCGCTTTATTATATTACAATAAATAATAAATAAAGACAACAAATTGATGCTCACGCGAACACTACACGTTGGAATCAAATACTAATGTCGTGTAACTAGACGCTCGGCCAGTCTCCACCCTTTTGTTGTGACATACCACACATTCGAACCAAACTCGTTCGTTAATGTGTACAGCAAAAGAGTGGAATTATTTGCCACTATTTGTCTTCCCATCCGATTACAATGTGAGTGCTTTCAAGAGACCGATTTATTAATGTTCCGTGCCGAATTCGGTAAGATAGTACACATAGGTATCAACTTGTTACTACCATCTATCTCTCACAGAGGTTTACGTCTGAAAGTATTAAATTGTCGAAATAAATGCATATGAGACGATCATTTCCAAAAGTATAAAAATTATGAATAAAAGGTATGTAATTTATTTTTAGAAACATTGCGCTTACATCCACCACTGTCTAGAGTGGAAAGAAAATGCACCAAAAATTATGTCTTACCTGGAACTAATATTGAAATAAATGTTGGTGACGTTCTTGCCATTCCTGTGTATGGCATTCATATGGACCCTAATATATATCCGGAGCCTCATGAGTTTAGACCTGAGAGGTTTATAGGAGAAGAAAAAAATAATAGACCCTCTCATTTGTATTTGGCTTTTGGTGCTGGACCCAGGAACTGTATTGGTAAGTAAATCTTGTAGACATATCATACCAGCTTTATGTAGCAAATGTGTTTGGTTTAAATAATATACACTTTGATACATTTTTGAAAAAAAAAAATTAACGCGATAAAGAATATTAAAGAATTTAGCGGTGCATATTTGAGGATTTTTTATTAATAATCAAAATGTTAACAATAATATTTCTATGCGATTTGCCATGTGGTGACACTTAAGAGTATAACTCACGTCATTTCATCCTGTGGGGTTGTGTGTAATAGGCGACTATGGCAAATGTTCAAAAAAGTCTTGTGGCTTTCGATAGGTGACGTTATAAACATCTCGTTTCCGTCAGGTGTGAAATACAGTACATACATATAACGTCAAGTCAGTGGTAAAAGTATTATGTATTGTAATCTATATTGAATGAAAATGATTCTATTCGTCAAAGATAAGACGACTACTGCCTCCAATCGGAGAGGCAAATGTCCAATACTGGACTTTTACGGGCATAAAGACGAAATAATAAATATTTACATGAATACTACACGTGCGTGTTTCACGTCTTAGGCTGTTGAGAGACGCTAGCCATTGAGTCTTGACATTCTGCCAGCGAATAATGACGATGATTTTTTGATTGCGATTCCTTTGTTGCTGTATCATTGTTACTGGGTGCATCCCCTTAATACCCTAAGATTGCAATATAGTCAATATTATATAAAAAGATCTATCGATCAAGATATTTTTTTTAAGTGTGTACTCTTTCGACGAATTATTAAACAAAATAAGATAAAAGGTTACGAAATGAGATACACATAGAAAATGATATGTAAACACATACATAAACACACCGCGTAATACACACGTATTGCGACTCATACAAAATCTAATCTATGGAAGACTTGCGTTTGGAACGGCTTTTTTCCGTACGGAATTACATACGCACAGGCAGTAATGGGGAATTTCGAATCAAAGTAAATTTCGTATGGAAAACTACTGTACGTGTGTGACGGGTCGTTGATTTTATATGGACTTGCTGCGTTCGGAATTCCGAAAGGGAATCCCGAAACGGAATTCCGTATGTTGTCTTAATGTCATAGATAAATCCGCGCTTCCTTTAGCGGGCGAGCTTTACTGCACTTGTATTTGAGTTTCACTAGTAAAAATTTCGTTGGTGGATCATCGCATACCCGCGTTATTATGAGCCAAAGAACCAGGCTCGCAACTCGCTAGCCTTGTATGAAATATCTCGAATAACTGTTTAGATTTCTGATAATGGCTGTCAGGGTCCGTAGGCTGGTGGTGGAGAGCAGCATTATTAGTCTGACTGCACTCGCCAAAGCCTGCTCAGCGGCGAGGTGAATATGGAACAAATAATTTATGTTGTGTACGTCCTGAATCACACATCGTGAATAACGACAAAAGATATACTCAGGGTTTGAACTTGTTGAAGCCTTTTGAGTATTTGTATCTTCAATGAATTAGGGTTTTTTTTCCACCAGAGATGCTGCGAGGATGTAAAAGCTAAGCTATAAAACTATGTGGCCGTTTCCACTGATGCTAAGCTATGTAGCGGGGCGAGTAAAATGTGCTATGAAGATGCACCGCCGCGTTATAGCTGTGCGAGGAAGATGCGCAGCTCGAGCTATGCGATGTCTCAACAGTAGGGAAGGCACGGGGAGCTCTGCTCTGCACATAGCTACACCACTCGCGACCATCCATAGCACGCATCCATTGCACGAAACCAGAGCACGCTTCCATCCATATAAAAAACATAGCTTAGTTGAACCTGTTTCCACCAGTTCTAAGCTATATGGACCAATGAATATGATTGGTGGATATCAAACGCATCCATAGCAACGTAGCATAGCACATCTCTAGTGGAAAAGCACCCTTACGGTAGAATTTCAACTACTATAGGCGATCACTAGTATAAATAAAAGCATTCACTAAGACGGTCCTCATAGTGCAATCTTGAAAAGGCCTATGTTCAGCATTTGACTTAACAAAGGCTGATGGAGATTGTTTGAAAAATTTTGTTATGCTCCGCCACTCAGAGAAGTTAGTTACATGATACACTATAGTTACAAAATTTAATGCAGATAACGTACTCAAAATATCTAATCTAATCCAAGTTATTATTTGTCTTTATTTCAGGTATGCGTTTTGCAATGATCTCAGCTAAAATAGCCATGGTGTCATTATTAAAAAATTTCAAATTCTCTGCATGTGCTAAAACTGAAAATCCAGTTATCATAGACAAAAGCTCTTTGTTACTAAAGGCAAAATCAGGTTTATGGGTCAAAATAGAAAAAATGTAAAATAAAATTGGGAGATATTTTTACTATACATATTTTATTTTTAACATGTGTTAATTTTTTTCATTTAATTTTTGTAAACTTTGCAATGAAAAATCCTATACTGTTTTTGTAAATGTCTTCAACTGGTCTTAGAGAGTCATCTTCGGGACCAAAACGTTGTACCATAATTCTGTAGAAAATGCGTAAAATAACTCAAATTAGATAATTAATAATTTAGATATCATGTGATTATTAGTACAAAATAAATATATTTAAATGTTTACTGTTATTGTAAAATATGTTTAAACTTAACTGATTAAACCAGGGATGTAACGATACCATATATAAGTTACAAAGTATTAAGATACTTGGTAAGGCGAAAAGAAGGCTCATTTCTTACTCCTCCTCATCCATTTTTTAGTTTTTTTCAGCATGCACGCATACCTCGAAAGGGACACCTATATGCACCACGCCGTGCAAGGCAGGTCCTTGATCGGCTGCTAAAAGTCCACTGCTGAACGTAGACCACTTCTTTTGTAGGAAGGATTTACTTAATAAAATCAGGCTTAGTAGGCAAATTGACAATCAAATACCAGACGTCATGCATATTGGACGCCGCGATCTAAGTATAACGTCTGGGCAAGATGGTTATGCTGCCATTTAGCGGAAGCCATAAGATTTTTATTCGGCATTCCCCATATTCATTTACCATATTATGGTATGGGGTGATAGATTTTTTTAAGCCCCTGTCACACTGCATGGCGGCTCTGTGATATGGGTTCGGCTCTTTCACTTGGTTTCTTTGGCAGTCAAAGCCTTATGCTATAGTGAGCAAGGTTCGATTTTTAAACAAAAATATGATCTTAGTTTAGTTTCTGTTTTGATAATTATTTTATAAATATTTTTATTTCATTTTTACTATTAATTTCTCTTCCCATCCCGACCTCTATTGCATAATATTTATTATAATAATCGGCAAAGTCTGGAATCTTTACATCCCTAATTTAATAAAATTATCTTACTAATACTTTTAGTTGGATATTGTATGTGTTTAGATATTTTAAACAGTATTATTAAGTGAATAAAATCAATATTACAAATGTTTTAGGTTTTATGAAAAATATATATTATTTTTAATTATAATTTTTATTTTACCTTTGTTCATCTGTTAAGCCATTATTAGGCAAACCTGGTCCCCCAAGAAGCGGTTCGGCAGGTATCAACTTTAAAACAGGAAACTTTTCAAGGACCCATGCTACCATTCTTTCATTTTCTTCTTCGTTAATTGTACATGTACTGTACACAAGTATTCCACCAACCTTTAATACTTTAACTGCCTAAAAATAAAATTTTATACATATAAAAGTGAATTCTTTTTCAATAAATTATAATAAAGTTTTCCGTTTGTTATTTTATTTCAGTGACTTACTGCATTAAATAACTTTCTTTGCACAAATTTGTAAGACTCCAGCATCTTTGAAGAAATTTTATTTACTAATAATGGTCTTTGTCCTAAACCACTGCAAGGAGCATCTAAAAGAACTTTGTCAAAACTATTTAAAGGAAATGGTGGTTTGATTACTTCTCCATCACCACATTCAGTGTAGCAGTTTACAGAATTAAAAGCAAACACATTCACACAAGTTATTCCGTGAGCCTTGCAATTCTTTACTATTTTGTCTGCTTTTTGTTGCGTTTTATCCAAGGCGATTATAAAAGCCTAAAAAAATGAATTGGGTTAATGGAATATAGCAAAGTTATTACACAAATTTCTCGTCATAAATTGTCATCTAATTCACTAACTATGGAGCTGCTGTAAATGTTGGCAGCCAACCGAGACATGGAATATCATTTTGCCATGTCTTGGATAATTCAAAACTCGTTTATATTATAGTATATGAATAGGATTAAAACGCTACCAACGGAGATGTGGTAGCAGATGAAGAACTCGCCTTAAATTTCATATTACCAGATTTTATCATTAATTGTTAAATCTTCGTCGGCACCAATGAAGTTATATGTTGCAATTTTAAGTGCTGATTTACCACATACTCAGATGAAGGAAATTATAAGGAAAGCTGCATGTTTGGGGTATTAAAATATTGATATAAATATGACTGGAGTAACAATCAACCTAGCAAAAAGTAGATTTGGCTAGGAAAAATTTGAGTCTTTAGGCTTTGAAGTATCAACACAAGGCATAAGGCCCCTTAAGGAATAAGTAGAGGCAATTTCTAAGTTTCCCAAACCTAAAACAATAGAAAAATTAAGACCTTTTTTAAGGCATGATACACTTCTATAGAACACATATACCGGATGCTGTCAAAGCTCAATCAAACTTAAATAAATATTTAAAAGGTGCTAGAAAGAGGGACAAGTTACTCATACAATGGTCAACGGAAGTCGACGAAGCATCCTCGCAATGTAAAAAATGTTTACAAAACGAGGAGACATTATCGTATTCGTTGCCTAATACAACGCTCGCACTCATGACTGACACGTCAAATTCCTGCGCAGGGGCAGTGTTGCAACAATGTGTTAATAATAAATGGTTACCTATCGGCTATTTTTCTAGGGCAATGAGTAATACTGAACAAAAATATTCGGCTTACGATAGGGAATTATTGGTTTTATACGTGGTAGAGCCACGCTGCAGCTATATTATGGTTGTAGCACGAATGGGTCGGCTCGACCGGGGAAGGACCACGCTCTCACAGAATACCGGCGTAAAATAGCAGCTTAACGCTGCTGTGTTTCGTATGGTGAGTGTAAAGAACCGGAGATCCTTTTTACTGGAAACGAGGCATTCCATCTTAGTCCTCACGGGTGACAACGCATCTGCATTTCGATTCGTAATCGAAGATAGATATAGATGTATATGGGGCACAGCGACCACTCACCATCAGGTGGACTGTGTGCTCGTTTGTCACCCTTATCCTAAAAAAAAGTTACTTAGCTATAAAATACTCTCAGAACCTTGTTGGGGGCAGGAAACTAGTGATTTTTACCGATCACAAGCCTCTAACTTTTGCATTTTCGAAAAGCAACAACGGTATAGAATTACCTTGGCGGAAACGTCAACTAACATATTATATCAGCGAATTTTCAACGGACATAAAACATAAAAGATTCCGAGAATCCAGTAGCCGACGCGCTATCACGAGTCGGAAACAAATTATTACCACGAAATGATCGATTACACAGATTTAGCCGAGGCCCAATTAGACGAAACTAATATAAAAAAACTACCCGAAAATACCAACGTTAAATTAAAAAAAAATTGATGTACCACAAACAAGCGGGAAATCAATTATTTGTGAAATATCAATTGGTAATACAAGGCCTTATCTCCCTGAAAGTTTTAGACGAAAGATATTTGAGTCATTACACAACTTAAGTCACCCCAGCATTCGCGGCACACCACGTGGTTAGATCTTACAAAGGCCCAAAGGGTGTTATACCTTTCAGCGGACCCGAGAATATACATAAATGCAGATGGAAGATAGGAGCAATGGGGGAAGATCGACCTATGTTACGGCGTGCCTTGATAGGAGGAAGATGGGACACTTTCTCTCTAAGGTGGTAAAACTTTCAATGATCAGCCGGAAGCTAGTTGAGCCAAGGATGTGGGCCCTGCCAATATATGGGGAAGATCGATTACTATATCTGTACATGGTAGAGCCATGCTGCGACTATATTAATAGTATAGTTCTAACACGAATGGGTCGGCTGGACCGGGGAAGGACCACGCACTCACAGAATACCAACGTAAAATAGCAGCTTAATGCTGCTGTTTTTCGTATGGTGAGTGTAAAGAACCGGAGACCCTTTTTACTGGAAGAGGCATTCTATCTTAGTCGTCACGGCTGATAACGCATCTGCATTTTAATTCGCAAACGAAAATAGATGTAGATGTATATGGGCCACAGCAACCACTTACCATCAGGTGGACTGTGTGCTCCTTTACTCGTTTGTCACCCTTATTCTATAAAAATGAAACAGAACACCACATATCAGCGATACATGCATAAAAGAAAAAAATGTTTCTGTCATAAACAATACAAGCATAATAGTATTTTAAGGTTACCCTACCCTACACTAGGAATTTGTCATGTACATATAATACATATAATCACGCCTCTTTCCCGTAGGGGTAGTTAGAGACCACTTCTTTCCACTTGCTATGATCCTTACATACTTGTTTCGCTTCGTCCACTTTCATTATTCCCTTCATACATGCTCTTCGGTTTAGGGTACTCTTAGGCTTAGTTTGTCATTACATCCCATCACAAATCCACTGATGAACATTAGGCCTTCCCCAAAGAACGCTACAAAGCACGGTCCAGTGAAAAAATCGAATCCACGGCCAGCAACGGCATAGCCAAACAAATAGCTAAAGTGACACCGAAATTCAAACCTTTTAACTATAGAGCTGAAATGATTGAACTTACCTTATTGTTAGACATCTCGCCTAAGTGTGTTGTTTTATTGCCTGGTGCAGCACACATATCAAGTATAATTTCATTTGGTTGTGGGTTTACGACCCACCCAACTACTATTGAAGGTAGATTTTGTAACAATACTTGTCCTTCAGGATAAATTGTTTCATTAATAACAGGTAACTTAGAAGCAGGCAACAACATACTGACAGCCACGCCACTAAAAAATAAACAAATTATTTTATGAAGTTAATAAATAAAATACCTGCAGAAATAAATATGATAGGGAAGTAAAATATCACATATAAATATATGATAACATAATATCTTCTATTTAATAAAACAAAGCAATACATAAATATGTAATGCTTTCATCAAAATATTAGTGGGTCTTTTATGACCTAAGGATCTAAGACCAAAAAATAAAGACAGGGAGCACTACGTACATTCAAAGTTATGCCGAAATCATGCTCAGCTTCTTGACTCTCTCACGCACACCATCTTTCTTTGTCAGCCCGTAAAAGTTCAATGTTAGATGGACATAATGACGCAATATGCATGTACCAAAAACCATGTTGTTGGTTGCATATTTGTATAGGCTTGGATTTTCATCACTTGAAATGTCCGCAGCGCTCCGTCTTTTTTCTTTGTTGGTCTAAGTTTATGACAAGGTAGCAACAGAAATCTTTTTACAAGCTTTTATTTAACTTGCAATGTAAATATGTTTGTTCGGGTGGAATCTTGCAACTCAATTTTGAAGCAGACATCTTCTATCGATTGCGCTGAAATTTTGTATACCCGTTAATTTTGGATGACAATGCATGGTTAGCTGTGTGACGTCATTCTAAATCCAACATGGCGGAACACCCAAGATAGCGGACTAGTTATTTTTAATGCACTCCCTACAATATGGGTATCATATGAAAGGGCTTGCTTGGTGTAACTCGAAAAATAAAGTGACGTCACTTTAAATCCAATATGGCGGACTTCTAAAGATGGCGGACTAAGTTTTTTATACCTTCCTACAATATGGGTGTCAAATGAAAGGGCTTGCTTAGTATAACTCGAAAAATAAAGTGACGACACTCTAAATCCAATATGGCGGGCTTCTAAAGATGGCGGACTAAGTTTTTCATGCTTTCCTACAATATGGGTATCAAATGAAAGGACTTGCTGAGAATACGAATGCGAGTTAACCAAATATAAGATGGTGATCATAAACTTGGTTGCTCCAATCCGTCTGAAATTTTGGTGTACTGGGGTTTTTGAAATCCTCGATAATTATTGTTTACGCTCGAACGGTGGTTTCGGAATCGACGTCAGAGGGCGCGCGGCTCGGTGCAATACCGGTCTGACATTCGGTCGCGCGTAGGACGCGCAAGCGCAGAGTCGTCTGTCAGCTGTGCTTGGAACAGCACGCTGTCATTTTTGTCGGGAACTCGGAATAATTCGGCGCGGCCAGTAAATATACGGTCTACCATTGTGACGCGCATTCCTGCTGGAGAGCTTCCCAGGGACTCATTGTGTCTGACTCAGAATCTGCATAAGTGCATTCGGCAATATTAGCTAGTGCGGCCTCTGATATTCTAGAACTAACTGTTGCTACGCGAAACGGTAGTGACCTTTCATCCAGAAACTCCGTGTGCGTTTTGTGCGTTAACCTTATACCCAGCGATAGTTAGTGGCTTCTGTAATTTAGTTAATCGTACGATAGAGTTAATTGACTGTCATCGTGACGAACGAGGAAAGTGACTGTGGTCCGGCGCCGAAGCAGTCTGAAGCGGTGCAGCATTTTGGAGCAGCCTGGAACTCGGCCGCGGCTGGTCGCCTATGCTTGACAAGGCCCCACACATTCACACCTCACTGTACACTACTCGCCATCCACTATTACACACACTCACGGCCTGCCCAAGCCATGGTGCGAAGTTAGCTTCGGATAATGGTAAGTACTATGTGTTACTAGCGTCCTCCCATATTATTTATTGTAATTAGGAAATTCCACGTGGCCATATTCTGGCCTCGTCCCTCTGCTGCTCGTCGATGGGATTACTCATGGGCCCTAATCCCGTCATCCTTGATTGGGGCAGCTAGGGGCGTGTACAATGATATTGAGGTCGAATTGTTCGAGTCTGTAGTAGCATCGGTTGGTTAACTTTGATTTGTGTAATTTGTGGAACACCAGGATTCACAGCTTAAAGTCATGCACGGTCCGACTACAACCTTAATACTCCGATCTGACAGAAAACTGGTGATTCAATTACATAATTTCTCGAGAAGCCCGTAAGCTTCGAAAGAAGCGCTTTATGCCAAACCCGATTGTATGGATTCCGTCACTCTACTTGTGGATGACCAGTGAAAGGAGTGCTTTGCGTACTGAGCACTGTGTGAATCGCACATAAGGCATGGATCACTCACACCGCGGGCTGGTCAGCGGTGTGGTCCCCCCGTCATCGAAAGACAAGGTCCAAGAACCACCCTAGCCGCATCTTAACTAAATCTTAAAGATATTGCAAGATTGGTGTAATGTTTTATCGGACGCAAATATCCTTATCATACGAGTAAGTATCAGAGTATATTTTTTTAAATTAAAAATAAAATGACGAATAAAAATAAATTTAAGTCGTACGATAAGAATAAATAAATAAAAAAACATGCGTGAACCGTCGTATCCGCCAAATTCGTACCGTCCGATAAGGGACTTCGTTCTAAAAATCGTTCGATTATCACATGAATAGACACTTCCATCTTTTTATTACGTTGCCCAATATATGTAAGTAACGGGTTTTATTCATAAAGCCCGTTCAATTTTCTTATTTCAATAATTTTTATCACAATGCCTACTCATATTGGGCATTATTCATATTGCCTGAGCATTATGAATAATGCCCAATTAATGACTTGGTCCATAACATTTATGTACATTCTTATATTGCTTGCTTATAAAATAGGAAGCAATGACAATAATAAACTGACCAGGTAGTAAATAAAAGATTACTTATTTTTATAAAATAAGGGTGACAAATGAGAAACGAGCACTCTGTCCACTGATGATAAGTGGATGCTGTGGCCCATGGACGTCTACATTTATTCTCAATTAAGAATCAATATGCAGATGTGTTGTCACCCCTGAAGACTGAGATGGAATGCCTCCTTTCCAGTAAAAAGGGTCTCCGGTTCTCTACACTCACTGTACGAGACACAGCAGCATTAAGCTGCTATTTCACGCTGGTATTCTCACAGAAATAAAATAGCAGCCATAATATAATAGCCATGTAGCAGCCATAATATAAAAGCTATGTAGCAGCCATAAAATAAAATAAAATAATTCCATTAATATTTTAAGGGCAATTAATAATCGCAAAATAACAATAAACAATACTGATAAATTAATAAACAACCTATTTTGAGCACCATTATCAAATAGATTATGGCGTAACATTTTGAGGTAACCAGTCCCAACATAAACTTTTTTACCAATATATTGTACTTTGAGACCTCGTTTGCAGTGACCATCTAAATCTCCATATACATCAACCTTTTCACCTAGTTTACAGTCTGAAACAATTCAATTCTTAATCTCATATTTTGAAACAGAAAGAACAAAAAATAACAAGGGAATAGTACTCTATATTGTGTTATAACATGTAAAACTTTACTCACTACTTGAAAGGCCTAATACTCCAGGTGCATAAACATGAGCACCCCTGAGTACAGCAGTTGCACAGGATACATCAACAATTACTTCATTTTTGCTTTTTTCCATGACTACATTTTCAGGCCAACGATCAACAATTAGGCAGTCTTCTTTCAAAAAAAAGAAATTGGGTATTTGTTCACTACCTAATTCTTTCCTTTGCTGTAAAATAGTTTTATACCAATTTTGGTGACACTAAATCAGGATAGAGTTCTACTTAATACATGAAGCAATACTACTAATAATCAGATTATTTTGGGAAAAGTCCAAAAAATATGAATAAAAGGAAAAGTCTACTGTTAGACATAGGTCTCTCTTTATGGGGCAGTTTGCCTTATTAGTTATGCACGCCAGGTGGATTGACAAATAGTTTCAGACGTCTCGCAACTTTCTCAGTTCGAATATTTTACGACTGTAGTAAACAAGATAGTTATACTGCTATTTATTAGCAGCCAAAAGATTTTTCTGGTATATCCCACAGTCGTCACTTAACAAGTTCAGGCAAAAATTTGTATGGGGATGATCATATTATAATCTGGCATTACATTATGTTGATTATGGTGGCCACATTTTATACATAATATGTGAAAAACTTACCACTTCTAAACAATTAGTTAAGTTTTTTATATCAAAATTCCTCAACTTGTTAATTCTAAATGTTGTATAAGTTGGAGTATTGGCAAGCCAATCTACTAAAGTATTCATCGTCCAGTTTAAAATTTAGAGGATTGAAAATACACCACAAAGAGAATATAATCACTATATTATGTCAGTCTTCTTATTCCTTTTAAAAAAAATGGCTCCATTGTTTTGCCAATAATTCTCTGCTAACATAAAAAATATAAAATCCAACAGAAAATAAAAATTAAATCAGCGCAGCTCTAGTGGAAACGGCTCAGTGGAGCAAGGTTTTTGTACATACAAAACAAGGGAAGAACGTATGCGAAGGATGTATTCGAGGGATGTGTTTGAGGGCTGTGTGCGAGGTATATGTTATCTACTATGCTACACATCCTCACAGCACCTCATTACCACACACATCTCTGTTAGAAACACAGCCTTATAGATTAAAAGAGGATGCAAAACACATTAGTGTGAACACTTTACAGGTCACAATAATTTATCATAATAATTACTAAAATTGCAGCAAATATGTGTGTGTGGAGTATAATAGGTATTCCAATTTGCTTGTGTCAGATATTATATTTTAATTGGTTTTGGGAAAACAGGTAAGGGGAAAGATTCATAGAAAGAAATCACAACTCCATAAGTGTTTTGAAGGACTAGCCAGGAAAGGAAACTAGCTAGAGAAGGCAAAACAAATGAAAAGTCTGGGATACTAATGTACTGAATAGGAGCTACCAGGTAAATTGCAGTGCCATCATTAAGGATACAGCAGTTTACTTCCTCTAACATTCAAGAAGGAGAAGGGAAATAGGATTAGAAATGTGAGAACCCCTTATAGTATTAAATCCCGCTATCGTCACCCGGAACTTAACTTAGGAGACATAAGTAGACCCAGGAATAATGACAATATTTTTAAAGTCAAGAGTTGAAAACTGAATTAGAATGAGGAATATAAGCCAAATGAAATGAAATATTTAAAGCCCTAAACTTCCATGATATTCATCCTATACTGTGACTACAAATGGATATGGAACTGAATATCATTGATTTATTGCGATGTGATAAGATATTTTAATAAAAAGAGCACAGCATTTGATGGTACTCTAACAACAGCATCAGGATTAAGCCATGCATCTGAGACAGCAGATGTTATAAGCTTGAAGCAGTTAAATAAATATAAAAAATCTGATTTTTCTGATACTTCTATTCTTTCATTGAATCATTTTTTGCACCATTTTTTCTAATTAATTTAAATAGGAATTCCTGAAGCCAGTTTTAAATATAGGATAATATAGTAATATTATTAAAAAGTAACTTTACATAATTTTGAAAGAATCAGGAATTCAATGAGGTTTTAGGAATGGAGTACAGTGGGATCTGACTGAAACTATTAAGAGGATGTTCATTTATTTCAAGAGACGGAGGAGATTGATGACAGCGAATATTGTACACTTTGTCGTGTATGGTTTGGTGTGAGGGTTAGGGTTTTTATAAATATTTACTACAGTTGACTAGGAGTGATTTCGTAGGATTTTTTTTCCGTATCGTAGGGATTTGAGAGTTGTAAAAACAAAACCATTACCAAACTAAAAATAATAATTAAATATTTTATAAAAAGGTTTAAACAGCATGTAAACACGGATCATGAACTAGACTTCAAATTCGGTCAAATTCAAGTTGAAATTACAATAAGAAAAAGAAATGAAATTTACCATAGATAAATAAATTAATAAATATGTATAGTAGTCTTGGGTAGTTCGCGAACGACCTAGGTTGGAAGAGCGCTCTTTAAGGTGAACTATGCGAACTAGTTCGTCAACAATCACGCTCTTAGTTCTTTAATTATTTATTTTTCTTGCGTCCACTCTATTATGGAGATACATGGCTAACCGACTGATTTATTTTTATTCTTACCGTTCTTACCAGAGTTTCTTATTAAAATATATAATTTATAGTCTACACTTAGTTTCATTAGTGCACAATTCACAACAAATAACAAATATTGCTGGCTCACAATAGTAATATGAAAGTGATAGTAAGCAGTATATAAATACCGTATAGTTCTCAATTCGATTTTACGGTAAGTTTATTCAAAATTAATATTTTACATTTCTTTTTCCACTAATTTTATTAAATCCTCGAATACAGTGCAACCTCAATATAACGAAACTGAATGGAATTAGAAAGTATTCGTTATTATACCAAGTAATTCGTTATAATGAGGTTTGTTATATAGAGGTTAGGAGGAACTACAATGCGTTTTAACAAGGTAAGAAAACTTGTTTATTAATCTCAACATTACGTAAATAGTCATCTACCTGTCGTATACGTGTCTGAACCTGCCAAGACATGATTTACTGTGAAATTAAGTAGGAATAATTAATAGTATATGTTATGTCAAGATTTCAAGTTGAGAAAATTGGTTAAAAAGAGATAAATAATATCTTCTCTATATATTCCGCAATAATTAAAAATTCGATATAAAGATATTTCTGATAAAATCTATTCGTAATATAGAGTTACATTTTGCATTAGCTCTTACAGGCAGTTCTAGGGGATTTCGAAAAATTCGTTAAACCGAGAAATTCGTTATATTGAGGTTTGTTATATCAAGGTTACACTGTGTTACTATGTTACATTAATTAGCGACATGTAATCTTTAAATTACAGTTGCGTTATTTTCAATTATCCAATACACTTCAAAAATATAAAAACATGTTTAGCTTCGTTTATTACATTTTATTTTAATGTCCATATCATAAAATAGTTCTTGATAAGTATCATGCATATATTATACATTATGTAGTATATTACATACTAATTAAATCATTAATTTCTTTTAACGTAAATTCAATTAATTGTTATTTACTGACATTCAATAAACTCATCTTTTTTAATAAGATCTACTGAAAAATTAAAAAAGAACTTACGAACTAAATGAGCGAACTAGTTCGCTATAGGACTACGAACTAAATTGAGCGCTCCCAATGGCGACCGACTATGCCCAAGACTAATGTATAGCAAGTTAGAATTGACGTTTACAATCAGTGTGACCATCTTTAAAGTACAGATCCTGCCTTACTTTGATTAAAACACTGCCAAATTCTGCCAAAGTCTGTAGTCTGTACTGAAAAATGCCTAAATATTGTCAACTTTATTTACCATTGTATTAAACTAAGAAAAGTAAAAATTAGTGACCGACCGAAGATTCGGTTTCGGTTTCGGTTTCGGCAAGTTTCGGCAAAATAATCTAGTTTCGGTTTCGGCAAAAAATCTGCCGAACCTTAGGCGGCGCCGAAACTCAGTATTCGTGGATTATCGTGCGTCTTTCGGATAAGTTCGTGACTCGTGTATTATACCTATACATAATTATACAGAAGCTGAAACTTTTTTATTCAATATAGATTGTAAATAATACTTATTGAAAGTCACTCTTTTGCTTAATTAACACTGGTTTAAAACAATTCTCTGTCCTTGGAAGAACCAGCAAGATAATCAGCGGGACTTTTTTTAAAAAAATAACTGATTACAATCAGAGCCGTAACGTGGACTAATATAAACGTGGGCGAAGCTGAATTAGTGAGGCCCCTTTTCTTTCGTTCCAAGGGTCTACTCAATAGATCTATCCTACCAAACATGTTTTGACACGACATACGTGAGCGACACTGAAAGTTTTTAGAACTGGCCACTTGTGAACGATATAATAAAAAATAAGTTCAAATTTTGAAAATGGAACTCTTTGCCAATATTATTGTGTATGTATTTTATTAATTTGTCATTTGTTTACGTTTTGGCGGAAAATTTAAAATTGTCTGTGTCACGTCAGCATGAATTTACCGCGAGAAAATTTTCGTACAATGATTTTTTATGAATTTCGATGTCATTTAAGTCAACAAGAAAGTTATGATAGACTTCGAGTGGCCTTTCACGATGAAGCCCCATCTCGCGCCACTGTTTACAAGTAGTTTATATTATAATGAGTTTAACATGGTCGCACTAATCTCACCGATGATCTGCGTGAGGGCCGGCCTTCTACGGCGACGACTGAAGATAACGTCAGTATTGTGCGGTGTATGAGATAGAGACTGACAAAAGAGAGATTTATCAGCAGATTCGGACAAGCTGTGAACCATGAACATTTAGCGATCAGGATGCTTTGTGCCCGGTGGATACCTCATAAATTGACAGAGGCCCAAAAACTCCGTCGTGTTGATTGGTGTCATAAAATGGTTCAAAGATTTAACGGAGGTGACTCAAATGCTGTGTTCGACATACTTCCGGGTGACGATAGCGGGATTTATTGTTATGATCCTGAAACTAAGAGATAGTCTGCTGTCTGGGTGTTTCCTTCCGGGGAGTTGCCAACTAAAGTGAAGAGAGGTCGAAGCGTGGGAAAAAAGATGGTGGTCCCGTTCTTCGAAAGGCAGGTCAATACGCAACAAGCAAATAATCGGCTACTTGGCGACGTCAGACGTGTAATTATTGGGTCACTCGCCCAATAGCATCGACTCTTGCGATTTTTATTTATTTCCGAAAATAAAAGAAAAACTTCGAAGAAAACGTTTTATGGACGCCGAGGAAGCAGTGGCTGCGTTTCAAAATACCGTCAAAGAGATCCTTAAGGACGAGTGGGCAAAGTGCTTTTCCATCAGTGGTTCCATCGGATGCAGCGATGTATTGATGTAAATGGATACTATTTTCAAATTATATAATAAAACTAATAACTTCCTATTTTGTTCAGTTTTTGATTTTCTAAGAACTTTCACTGACAAGTCTCGTTTTCCATCAATGTAACAATCGCAGTTTTGGCTTCTTGCGAGGCCCCAAACAAACTCACTTAAATTTGTGACTTTCTTTTTCGAGCGTAAAAGTGATCAAATTAATTAGTCATCTGTGGTAAAGTCTGGGGGCATCGCATTTTAAGGGGCTCGCAAAGCCGCTCGCCTAAGGCCCTGTGCGAGGCCGTGGGCGAGCGGCCACTTCGCCCATGCCTAGCTACGCCACTCTTATAATCATGTATGTAACACAATTAACAACACAAAACAAATTAGAAATGGCTTTGTAGTGATCATCTCATT